CAGGGAAGATGAACTCACTTCAGACATTCAAGGCGAAGGAGGGACTATCCAAATAGCCACGTCTAGAAGAGAGTAGGAAATGCAGAGTAAGACGAGGAGAGAGGTGGGCTCAACAAAGATCTGGAAGTTGTCTTCGTGGACTGACAGCTGACATCGAGAGACTACCAAAGGAGAGAATGTAGACAGAAAACCAGGTCAAGGGGTAGACTGAGTCTCACTCTACATTCATTCTCTATTGCTGCCACATTTATTTTCCTAAAACACTTGGACTTTTTACCAAGCATACAAAGTGAAGCCTAGACTCTTTAGCTTTCTCAAACTCTTCACAAATGTTGCTACCAATGCCTTCAAATTCTTCCCACTTGCCACCTTTCCACAGGAACCTCTGATCCTGCTGGAGTATCCTGCAGATGGTCCTCTTCAGAAAAGCCCTCTCAGCTCTGCCTTCCCTCTGTGAAACCTCACCTAGCACTCCAAGCACAAATGATTCCTCCATCCACATCCAAATAATAACTTGGCACTCATTCATCGCCTGCTTTTAATGGTCATCTTTTTAGGTATATAAATCTTCCCCCAATCTAGGACAATTTATCTATGCACTATAGCAGGGTCAGCAAACTTTTTCTGTAAAGGGTCAGAATAGTGAATATCTTAGGCTCTGTGGGCCTAACAGTGTCTGTCACAACTACTCAACTCTGCCACTGTAGCACAAAAGCAAGCACAATATGTGAACACAGGAGCATAGCCATGTTTCAATACTTCATTTATAAGCACTAAAATGTGAATTTCACATAATTTTCACCTGTCATGAATCATATTCTTATGATTTCCCTCCCAATCATTTAAAGAAGTAAAAATCATTTTTAGCTTGCAGGCCATATAAAAACAGGCAGCAAGCCATATTCGGCCCTCAAGCATGGTTTGCCAACCCCTATGATGTATCATAATTCTTTGTGACTAACAAAAATGTCATCTTTCCTGCAATTACTCATTAAATATTTGTTTTACCAATGGGGGAAGAGGTGTCCCAATTATGTTCCTTTAGTTAATATTAGTATCTTTTATTTAACATGGCAAAATGTCATACCTCTACAATTGATAAGTAAGCAATCCCAATGTTCAAATGGAAACTGCTGACCCCTAATGAGAAGATGCATTAAATGCAACATGAGGCTTTTATTCTGTCGGTGTCTGCCATTGTAAAATGCTTGTATGAAAGGAATATAGCTAGTTATGATGGCGATACACATACAAGGAGGAGCATAAGGATTAGGGTTGAGAGTCTTAATTTAAAAATCAAATGTGTTTTTATTTAAAGAATTCATTTTATAATTTTGTTCAACTCCCAAAATTCTGCAAACAAGATTTTCCTTTTTCAACCATACATATATAGTACTTAGGAACAGATGAACAATATAGACTTTGCTACATTTCATAAAACATTTTAACTGATTCTGAAAGGGCACTGCCCTAAGACATGCTCTCTGAAAAACTTCCAGTCCACAATTAAAAACATTTAACACAGGGCACCTGGGCGGCTCAGATGGTTAAGTGTCCAACTCTTGATTTTGGCTCAGGTCATGATCTTGGGGTGGTGGGAAGGAGCCCCGAGTTGGGTTCCCCGCTCAGTAGGGAGTCTGCTTGAGACTCTCTCCCTCTGCCCCTCCCCCCACTCATGTGTGTGCACGTGACTGCACGTTCTCTCTCTCTCTCTCAAATAAATAAATCTTTAAAAAAAAAAATTTGAACACAGTATCTCACTTTTACCAAACAAATAAAAATGTCCAGAATGTCATGTTGTTACTAAAGTAACATAAAGCTTTCCAGCTTTCACTTTAAGATGAAAAATGAAAAGACATGTTATTTCAGATTGGGCTAAAAATTTTCCGAAGAGAAAATACATATGAACATTTCAGCAGCACTTAAGATATATTACAGGTTAACAACAAAAAAGCAGAAGCAGGACATGGAATAAAGCTTTTCTAAATTCACTTCAATTTTTTTTTAAGATACTAAAAAAGTTTTTTTTTTTAAAGACTTTATTTACTTATTAGAGAGAGAGCAAGAGCGCATACTTGGTAGAAGGGGCAGAGGGAGAAGAAGAAGCAGACTCCCCGATGAGCAGGGAGCCCGACTTGGGGAGGCTTGATTCCAGGACCCCGAGAACACCACCTAAGCTGAAATCAAGAGTCAGATGCCTAACCGGACTGAGCCACCCAGGTACCCCTAAAAATAGTTTTTAAAAAAAATGTCCTGGGGCACCTGGGTCCTGAGATCGAGTTTCCCATCCAGCTCCTTGCTCAGCGGGGAGTTTGCTTGAGATTCTATCCCTCTCCCTCTGCCCCTCCCCCCACTCACTCACTCTCAATAAATAAATAAATCTTAAAAAAAAAAAAAGTCCAATATATAATGTATGGCTGTTTTGGAATGTCTTTGTTTCTTAAAACTTTGTGAAAAAAACAATGTCCAATATAGTCATGTCTTTTTCTACTACAGAAATCTCAGAATATTTCTGTTAGTCTTTTCAACCACAATAAAAACCTTTCAAGTCTTAAAAGTTGGAGGCACCAGTTGGGTGCCTGGGTGGCTCAGTCAATTGGGTGTCTGCCTTCGGCTCGGGTCATGATCCCGGAGTCCTGGGATAGAGTCCCGCATCGGGCTCCCTGCTCAGCGGGGGGCCTGTTTCTCCCTCTCCCTCTGTGCGCTCTCTCGCTCTCTCTCAAGTAAATACATTTTTAGGAAAAAAAAAAAAAAAGTTGGAGGTACAAGTCAATGGCTAAGGCCTTGGAAGAAAAAGAAACTCAGTATCCAGGTCTCTACCAATCAAACAGGTTAGGCTAAAGCTCAGAAGGAATAATCCCAGAAAAAAATGTTTTCTCCTTACTGCTCTCAATCAGAACAATGAACTCTGTGCTCCCAGATTCATCACATTTATGGTTCTGGTTTACTTATCACCTCCAACACTTACCCCAGTAGTTAAGTAGTCAGCTTAGATACTGGACATGTTTTATATTTTTTCAATATAAGTATCTCTTAAATTTGCAACTGATTCATCTGAGATGTTCAAGTACAAATGGCAACCCATAAGTAGGTAAAGGAGGAAAATCCCAACTCCTCCCCTGCCTCCATTCCCTCTACTTATTTCTTTAAAATCATGCTTTTACAGTAATTTCTCTCACCTTCAGCTGTCTGCTTATGCCCTACTTTACCTCTACTTCACGCTTTGGGTGCACAGCCATAGAAATGATGGTGCCAAAGAGGAATGATGATGTTAAGCCACCGAGGAAGAAGAATCTTCTTAAGATTACCAATTATGAACCAGGTGCTTCATATAATCTCTCATCTAATCTCATCTAATCTCATATGGTATTATCATCCCAACTTTTTCAGAAAAGAAAAGAGTCTCCGAAAGATTAAAGAAACTGCCTTAGGACTAAAGTAACCAACTACCCCAGTTCACCTGAGACTGAGGGGGTTCCTGGGATGTGGGAATTCCAGTTTTAAAACTGGGAAAGTCTTGGGCAAAACTGGTCACCCATCTAAGGACACACAGCCCATCCTTACCCTTTCATAGGTTCAAATTTGAGCCAAGTCAGTTGGGCTCCAAAGCCCATGCACTTTCTCCCAGGACTCCTGCTTTTCCCAAACTAACCTCCTTCTCAAACCTTAGAAGCCCCATTATTTCCCTCACCCTCAGGATTCTGGGCCTAACCTAATTCTGATGAAAAAGATTCAGTCTCTTCTTATTCTGTCTTTTCCTCTATAATATATACAGATCTTTCTTAACTCCCTAACACAGAGTACCCAAAGGACCACCACTGGCAGCCTGAATGGAATGATAAGATTAAAATAAAAACTAAAAGGCAAAAGGGCCTATAGAAGGCTGATTTCTTTTCAACCCTATTTCTCCTTTACATCATTAGCATTTAAACCCCTTTGGGGATGGCGTGAGGAAGGACGGTGGTTGGAGAACTAAAAAATAAATTGTTCTTGCCTCAAGAATGTGAGGGTAGGAATGAAGAAATAAGTCTGCTTTTTCTCCCACAGGGGGACTGAGGTAAAGATGAACATCCTAATTTAAAGCAAAAAAGTAAACACTATAAGGAAGGCAGAGCTTTTCCTGGGGTCTGTATGTTTTAAGGGGTTGTATTAGCCAGTGGCTGCAGACTTAGTGGCGGTCTGGAATGAAGAGTGTGTCTAAGGTTTATACCAGCAGGAGGTCTCGCCTTGTCACTGATCCTCATGGGTACATTTGGAATGTACCCATTCCAACCCCTCAGAACCCTAATCTTGGCCTTGGGCCTACTACCTTTTCCACTATAATTGAGTCCCTAGTCCCAGGAGCCACCAATAAGAATTAAAACTGGGATAGGGTAGCGCTAAGAATGTGCTTTCCGCAAACCAAGCAGGAACTATTCATGTATAGAATGTTTCTGCAGGAAAACAGATTCTTCTAAACTCAATGTCATACAGAAACTTCTGAAGCAAAACTGCATGCAAGAGAACACCTAACTACTTCCTCAAAGGCAGTAAGGTTTTACTTCCACAGTATCAAGGGCAGTGCTCAGACAATTGTTTAATAAATGATATTTATTAAATGTTTTCCATGCTTGAGAAATTTCACTGTTTTTCCTTCGGCCTTACTTCACTGACTCCCAACACATAAGACACTAACAATGAGTACACTCTGGGCTACTCAATGTGTGGTTCACGGACTAGTTGCATCTGCATCACCTGCGACCTCACCAAATTAGAATTCGCATTAAAAAACAAGTCGCCCGGGTAAATCGCGGGACATTAAAGTTTGTGGAGCACTGCCTTATAAGTTTGCTATATATAAATCCTTCCAATCCCCAGCTCCAATCTCTACATCAGCTTGAGAAAAGACGAAGCGCACACGTTGCACAAGGCCAGTGATTAACCCACGGTGGGGCTGGGACCTGTCATCCCAAGGCATCCTTCCTCCCTGACAGTCGTCCCCCCCCCCGACCCCCGCTCACCTTGATGCGCTCCCCATCTATCTCCACCGCACGTTCTCGGAAATCCACCCCGATAGTAGCCTCGGTGCGGTCGGGGAAACGGCCGGCGCAGAAGCGGTAGGTTAGGCACGTCTTGCCCACGTTGGAGTCACCGATCACGATTATCTTGAAGATACGGGAGCGAGCCGGAGGCAGAAATACTGAAGCCCCTGACACCGCACCGCTAGACGAGAAGCTTGCCTCAAGAGACGACTCCATCTCCATTCCCCGGACCCGCCCCAAACTGAGGCGGAGAAAAGGAGACGCGGAAGGATTGAGAGATTACGCCTCCTCGAGCGAGCGCGCCCACCCTGCCGGCTCGGCTGCGCAACGTCACAGGAGCCACCGCCCTCCAGCCCGGCAGCGCGCGTGCGCACCTTTCCGCCCCCGCGTCGCGCAGGTGTGGCGCCCGCCAGCCCCGTCTCGCTGCTCCTCCCACCTGGCCCGCGGCTCCACCCCGCCGTCACTGCCGGCGGCGCCAGTCTACCTGGAAAGGCTTGACTGCCGGTGCGGAGGTCCTGGCCCACCCAGCGGCCAAGCAGAGCGCCCCAGGCCCGGCACCCAGGCTGACCCGGCCTCGCCACGTCCAAGGCTCCCGCCCTCCGGAGGAAGCCGCGCAATCGCTCTGGGGGCGGGGAGAGAAAGACAGCTGAAAGGAAGGAGGTACCACCAGGCACTCTCTCGCGAGAGGGCCGAGGAGCCGCCTTAAACGGGGGCGTGTGCCTGGTGAGGGGCCGTAAGGTCTTCGGAAGGCTGGGATGTAGGGTTTGGCGCCGTTGTGGACGTTGGTGGGGGTTTCCCGGACTTGCAGGTGGAAGCGGGTTCTCTTGGCTTGCAGCCAGGGGCTGCGGAGTCGGCTGTGCCCCCTGCCTCCTCTGGGCCCTCTGGACCCCAGGAGCTGGGACAGCAACGAGGACTGTAGGGGGTGGGGCCTGAGGCGCCGCCGGAAGGTGCGGGACGCTGGTGGAGGCGAGCTCCGGGCCTCACGGAGTTCGGCAGCCTTGGTCTCGGCAGGCGCTCGGTTGACAGTGAGCAGGTGGGAGGTCGAGGCCGCCTACCGCCGTGGCACGGAGAATTTCCTAGGCGCCCCCTAGGCCATGTGAGGGTATCCGCGGGACTCTGGTGGTGCCCAGGGCTCGTCTGGCTGATGCCTCAGGCCCAGGAAGTAGAGCAGATCACATGTGGGCCACTTAGGGGCATTGAACCGAGAGTTGTTACCAGACGGCCTCTCTTGGGAGAATAAAACCCATTATGCCCTACTTATGTCTTAATGCCTGGGTGACGATGATGTAGCCGTTCAGTATGCCTGAGCGCACGCAGAAGTTGTCTTGGCGCACTATTTAAGAAAAACATTAATAGACGAGACCACCCAACCTTAAAGAATCTTCTCTGGATTACCGTGAATTCTTCAGATGAAACCTACCATACATTAACTCACACAAAAGGTCCAAAATGTGCAAACTTTTTTTGTGAAAAGTTGTTTTGCAATAACAAGCCTGCATTCCTTTTTAATGTTTGAGCAAATGGTTATGCTGCTTGTAAAGTCAAGGGCTGTGGAGAGGAGGACATGGTAGGCTTTAAATAGAGTGAGGGGAACAGTAGAGCACTAAAAGTTCTAGGAAAGGAGATAAACTGCTTATTCCATTAGGTAAAATGAAAATGTAGTCAGAGGAAATTAGTGGTAGAACCCGAGGCTACCCAGAATTAACACGAATTTGCGCTAGCCTTAACACACAGTAACTTATGTTGCTGTAGAAAAACTATACAGCCACTAATATAGCAAAGTTATATTAGCCAGGGAAAAAAGTTTTCTTACCTGGTTGAATGTGTATGCCAATTACACTTACTCCGTATCCTGTTAGAGAAACTAAAACATGGACTGGAAAATTCTGTTTGTGAGATTATTTCTATGAAGATTGATCATCCCAGATACTATTGGAGGGCCTTGGAATATATTCTTCTAATTTACTCTACCTATCCCATTTAAAGAAGCTGAAGATTTAGGACAAAAACCAGTTGAAGAATTCAAAGCTCTGGATAATCAGGTAATTGCAAAGGATGAGTAAAAAAAAGCATTAGCATCCTTGCACCCTAAGACCCTTTCTCTTTTGTATTCTAGCATTTTCAGTTTAGCTCTTACTAAACTATCAGAAATTAATTTTCTTGTCTGTTTATCCAAATCCTATTCATATTTCAAAAGTTTCACCTCTGTGAAGCTTTTTGTGATTACTTCAGTTCAGACTGTTCTTTGCTTTTTGGGGTATTGTTTATTTGGTCTTTGAATACTATCTTCACTGTTTAAGTTTCATAATTATGTGTTGTGTCTTACCAGCCAGATTGTCAGCTCTTGACTACTGACGGAAAGCTCACTGTTTTTCAGCAAATGATGAATAAATTAATGAAGTGAGAAAATTTCTTGCATAAAGTTTGTCAATTTGAACTCTTTACCAATTATACACATTTCAGCACTACTTAAATAGAAGAAATACTGTAGACACTTGACACTGTTATGAAGAGTTTCGTATTTTCAGCTTGCAGTTTGAGAGACTTTGTGTGACTGAAGTATGTCACTCTTCTTAACTGAATAATCCCAGAACCTCCAGGTTTGATACTTGGAGATTCTGCTACTGGGAAGAGTGGATCGGTTATACAGCCCTGTTTTCTGAGAATTCATTTTGTCCTTGGAATTCTTCACTACTTGCTGTCACTACGGCTTGACCTCAGAGTATCAGCATGTTAACTTTTTCTTAATACTTTGCAACATAGCTGAGAAGAGACTAAATTTGAACTTTTAGCAATACAACTTCAACTGGAACATTATAAATGGTTTAGGGTACTTATTTAGGTTTATGGATTTATAATTTATTTAGATGTATATTTAAAAATACTTTAATAGAAAAAACTGAAGGACTATTAGAAACACAAAATAAGGGTAATCTTATGTACAAAGTATAATTACTTACTTTCAGTTTTTTGGGTTTTCTTTTGCTGCAGAGATGCCACTTCCCTGTGGCAGAGGCCATTTTTGAACTGATCTTACCATGGAATAGCTCCTAGGCAATTTCACTCATATGTTCAGGACTGAGCACGGAGGACAAAGGAGAGTTCTCTTGCATGCCCAAATAAAGGTTTCTCAATTTCAGCCCTGATGACATTTTGAGCCAGATAATTCTTTGTTGTGGGAAGCTGACCTGTGCACGGTACGATGTTTAGCAGCATCCCTGGCTACCACCAAATATATGCCAGTAGTATTCCACTACTAGTTTGAACAAACCCTCTGTAGACATTACCAGATACCCCTGAGGGGAAAATCTGTGCCCTGTCCCTGCTCTCATTGAAAACCACTGGCCTATATCAGGACTCTTCTCACAATTCTGGTTACCTGTCCATCCCAGGTGATAGTAGGAGTCATCTTTCCCTTAAACAGAGAACTCTTAATTCCCCAGAGAAGTACAGCATTGGTCTTATTGGCCTCCACCAGATTAACATACCACTGTGTTTAATAGTAACCCCAAATATCATAAAAGAGATATTACAGTATAAATAGCAGAGTTTTATTTTGGTACCTAAACAGTAAATTACTGTCATTTTATAAGTTAGCTTACTGAGTTTTAGAATTAAATCCAGAAATACAAAACATCAAAAAAGCAAAGAGCTGGTTCTTTGAAATGATCAATAAAATAAATATGACAAAATAAAAATAGCAAAGATTTTTAAATCAGAGAAAAGACGTTAAGAATGAAAAAGGAGTTAAAACTCAGATTCAAAGGGATTTTTTTTTTTTTTTAAGTAAGCTCTACACCCAGTGTGGGGCTTGAACTCACGACCCAGAGATCAAGAGTCACACACTCTACTCACTAAGCCAGCCAGACGCCCCCAAAGGGAATTTTTATTTTTTTTTTAAGATTTATTTGAGAGAGCACGTGTGTGAGCACAAACAAGGGGAGAGGGAGGGACAGAGGGAGAAGCAGATTCCCAGCTGAGCAGGGAGCTCAATATGATCCCAGGACCGTGGGGTCATGACCTGAGCTGAGGACAGATGCTCAACTGACTGAGGCACCCAATATAAGAGGATACTATGTATAACTCCATGTATTCATAAAAATATTTTATTGAGCACCTACCACATGAAAAACAGGCACTGTGTGAGTTGCTAAAGATACTATGGTTAACAGACCCAATTTGTGGAACTTGTTTAACAAATACCAGAGAAAAAGGGGGTTGGCACCTCTAGCCCCTGCATCGTTTGAGCTTCTACTGTGTATCTTACATTATATGTGTTGTAGTATGATATTATTTGAGGGTAAACTGGTAAGTTCAAGATTCATATGGTAAAACTTAGAACAGCTACAGTAATAAAAGAAGCATAGCAAAGCAGCCAACAGAGAAAATGGAATACTACAAATTAGTCCAAAAGAAGACAAGAGGAAAAAGAAACAAAATGTAGACTGAACAGATAGAATACAATATATCAAAAATTTAATTAATTATAAATGGTCTAAATACTGCAATTAAAAGGAAGGCATACCTCTCTAAATAAAAAATCAAGGCCTAATTATGTCCTAATGCTTACCAAAAAAAAGAAGGCATCATCAACATAAAGACACAGGTTCAAAGTAAAATGATGGAAAAAGATAAGCAAACAATAAAGCTGGAATATCTACTAATGTCAGACAAAGTAGACTTCAGGAAAAGGAATTTGGCCTATCTTCAGGACAAGATAAAGAGGGACATTTCATAATATAAAAAGGTCAATTCATCAAGAAGAGAGAGCAACAAAGCTTCAAATTACATGAAGTAAAAACTGAAAGAAAAAAAAATAGACAAATCCAAAATTATAGCTGAGATTCCAACATCACCTCGGTATCTGATGAACAAGTAGATTTTTTTTTAAAGATTTTATTTATTTGACAGAGATAGCGAGAGAGGGAACACAAGCAGGGGGAGTGGGAGAGGGAAAAGCAGGCTTCCTGTGAAGCAGGGAGCCCTATTCAGGGCTTGATCCCAGGACCCTGGGACCATGACCTGAGCCAAAGGCAGACGCTTAACGACCGAGCCACCCAGGTACCCCGAACAAGTAGATTTTTAAAATCTGTAATGATAAAGAGGACTTTAACAATATTATCAACCCATCTGACCTAATATTCAGAGAAAATTACATCAAACAGTGGCAGAATATACATTTATTTCAAAATGCACATGGAACATTCACCAAGATAAACCACAAACTGGGAGATATTTTTCCTTTTAATTCTCTATTTTTTT